AGATCACGAGGTCAGGAGATTGAGACCATCCTGGCCAACATGGTGAAACTTGGTCTCTACTAAAAATACAAAAATTAGCTGGGTGTGGTAGCACGCACCTGTAGTCCCAGACATGCCAGAAGCTGAGGCAGGAGAATCGCAGGAGAACCCAGGAGGCAGAGGTTGCAGTGATCCAATATTGAAACACTATACTCCAGCCTGGTGACAGAGTGAGACTCTGTCAAAAAAAGAAAAAAGAAAAAAAAAAAGGAATATCAGAACATAATATGTGTCGATGACAAGTATCTTAGTAAAAAGGGAGAAGAAAATGTAGAAGAAATTTTGAACAGAGAGATGGAGTTGGCCTCTAGTTCTGGGGAAGGTGCATCCTCCTGTGGATATAGGGAAGTTTATGGGTATATGGGACGTTTGTGAGCTAGAAAGTAGAGATGCCCTATCCAACAGCTTTTGTCTCACAGAAGCATGAAGTGGAGATGTTAACAGAGAGATGTTATGTGTAAGTGTTAGGAGTGGGGAGGGCAATTGTGAGAAAGGAGAGAAGGTGTGAAATGAAATGGCCAAAGAGTAGGGAAATACGTAATTGTTGGGCAGTCTCTAGAACCCAAGTGAATTTGAATTTGCAGAGTTAGAGTCTGTTTACCCATGTGTACATACATGAAGAGAGAGACAGACACACACAGAGAGAGAGAGAGAGAAGAGAGAAGAGAGAGAGATTGATTATGAGGAATTGACCCAGATGATTATGGAGTCTGAGAAGTCCCACAGTCCGCTGTCTGCAAGCTGTAGACTTGGGAAAGCTGGTGGTGTGATTCTGGTCTGAGTCTGAAGGCCTGAGAAACAGAGGAGCCAGGGGTCTAAATCCTGGTCCAAGGGCAGGAGGAGATTGGTGTCCTAGTTCAGGCAGGCAGGAAGAAAAAGGGGTGAATTCCTCCTTCCTCTACCTTTTGGTTCTATTTGAACCCTCAATGGATTGGATGTTGCCAGCCCATATTGGGGAGGGTGGTGTCCTCCCAAGTCACCAGCGCGAGTGCTGATTTCATCCAGAAACACCTGCATGGACACAGTCACACTGAGCTGCCTCTCGGGGCTTTTCAAGTTATGCCTGAGGTATGCATTACTATTTGGTTAGCGCTGTGATTACAAAAGTGCATAGGGTTTTAAGTGGTCTGCTCTGAATTTTTCTCCCTCTGTTATTTTTGGTGTGAGATTTTATAGACTATGAGTTATTTCAAACATGCCTGACCTGTCTTCATGTCTATGCAAGGTCATTGCAATGAACTGAATGTGCGTATCCCCCCAAAAGCCATGTGTTGAAACCCTAATTCTAATGAGACGGTATTGGATGGTGGGGCCTTAGGGAAGAAATAAGGCCATAAGGGTGGAGACTTCAGGAATGGGATTAGTGCCTTTATAAGAAGAGGGCAGAGGACTAGCTGGCTTTTCTTCCCACCTTTTGAGGATAGGAGAGTCATCAGTAGAGAGCTGGAGGAGGTTCCTCACCAGAACCTGCCAATGCTGACACCATGATCTCAGACTTCTCCCCTCCAGGACTGTGAGAACTAAATGTTGTTTCAGCCATCCAGTTTGTGGCACTTTGCTGTTGCAGCCTGAACTGACTAAGGCAGGCATGGTCAGTTTTTAGAATTTTCTAATGCTTTCATGTAAAACGATAAAGGATATCATCTTCCTGGCGGGTAAATGCAAGTCAAAGGGAAGTGCCCACAGTAGTCCGTGGTGGCCTTTCAGGGAAGATCTCGGTTTCCTCCTCCAGAACCTCTGGTGAAGTGGAGCCAAACTGCCATGAACTCTGCTGCGATTGTGCTCATCACAAGGGGATTTATGGGGTGTTTGTGCATGGCTATTCTTTGTAAACAAAATTAGATAGATATAGTCTTTATCCTCTAAGAATTTAACAACTTTAAAACAGTGACATAAATGTTATAGCTGAGGTGATAGATAAAATAAATATGAAACATTTAGTTAATCTTATAGGATATTCTAGAATGATGAACCACTGAGAAACCATACAAGTATTGTGTTCATACCGTACACCACCAGGTGACTATGTTTAGCAGCAGAGAAAGGGATGTTAGTTTAGGCATAATCATTATTACTCACCATTTTACATGAAAGCATTTGAAAATTCTAAAGACTGACCATGGCTGCGTTGGTCAGTAAAGGGTGCAATAGCAAAAATTTCATCTCACCAAGACTTACTGGGCAAACATCACTGGGAATGGAAAAGTGTTTCTCAGTTTATATGTTATATGTTTGGAAAAAGCTTAGCAGACCAACTGGAAAGCTTATTCTAAATAAACACTATGCTTTTAGAAAGATATGAGAAAAAAGCCATGTTAAACTTAAAGGGGGCTTTATGTACGTGTCTCCCTGGGAAAAGAGTTGGAGATAGATGTAGCTCATGGAGGAATTCCTTCATTCTTAGAACTTTGACATCTATTTTATCCCATGTTTCAGAGATAGAGCTTCCAGAGAAAATTAAGATTACCATCTGCCTTGTATTTACTCAAGAAGACCAGGACACCATGTTTTCTTGAAATAATAGTGCTTATAAAAGTCTTAACTCTAGGAGACTGAAAAGAGAGCTGTATCCAGTGTCCCCTAAGTTTATCATGCTGGCCCAGCCATGGACAGCTGGCTTCTTGGTGAGGAAGGCAGACAGGCATCAGAGGGTGGTATCTGAAAAGGAGAGGGTTTCCTTCACCCTGATCCTTTTTGCTTACCCACCTTTAAGAAAATACGAGTTTTTACTTTGGGAGGCCAAGGTGGGAAGATCACTTGGACCCAGGACTTCAAGATTAGCCTGGGCAATATAGTGAGACCTTGTCTCTACTTAAAAAAAAAAAACAAAAAACCGGGGGTAGTGGCACATGCCTGTAGTCCCAGCTACTTGGGAGGCTGAAATGGGAGGATTCATTAAGCCCCAGAGATCAAGCTTGCAAGCTTGCAGTGAGCCTTGATCATGTCACCACACTACAGTCTGGGTGACAGAGACCTTGTCTTAAAAAAAAAAAAAAAAAAAAGTCTCGAGTAACTGGGGAAGATTATAAAGCTAGTTAAAATCAATTAATAGTGATATCTAGAAATCTCATAAAATATAAGCATTTTGAAGTTTTTTTTCTTTTTAGCTACTCTTTTAATTGAAGACACTTTTCATATATTTAAGTGTTAGTGAAGTAATGAATTAACTTCCCTCCCAGAAAGTCAAGACTAATGCTGTGTGTCTTCACATGGAAGATGAACTTCAGAGCTCCATTTCCCTAGTTCCTATGTATAACTTGGTCATATGCACACCAAACCATGCTCATAATGCATTCTCCTCCCCTGGCTGCCTCTCGAACTTAGGTCACCCAGGAGGCGTCTGTAAAGTCAGCACTGTAAAGAAAGCCTCGTCAGGGTATTTGAGGCAGCGTATCAACAGTTTATTGAGTAGGCGCCTTTTAAGCACTGTTGGATAATAGGCAAAACTGTCACAGCTATGCATAAATGTGCTGTGTCGCTTCACAGAAGAAAATATCTACTAATCCTCAGTTACGGTGCTATATTATTAAGCTAATAAACCTACAGAAAGTTTGTCACCATAGGTGTCTGTTAAATTACTATAACCTGAACATTATCTTTGGAGTTTTAGATGTCTCTATTGGCTGAAGAGCCTAATTTTGAAGCTTTTATCTGTTCAAAAATTTCATTTTTCCCGTCATCATCTCTGTTCAATTGAATATGTCTTTTTCAAGAGCAATCTTGGCTATGTATAAACTGCCGCCTGACGATCCCAGTGAATGTTAAGACTGTCTGCTGTCTGTCAGGGCTGGTGAACAGTTTGTTGCCATAATATAAAATATTTTCTGTATGTTCCAACCTTTGCTTTTGGCAATTTTCTATCATTTAGTGTTTGAATAAAATACTGCCTCCATTTTACACATCATTTTTTTGGATATTTTCCTTGTCAAATTCCGGTATGTTAAAATGAAGCACACTGATAACCGGGTGATTTACTTGTCATAGCAACAAATAGTGACACCAAAATATCTTTACTTTATCATGGGTTTCTTTGCGGGTTGGTAGTCTGGGTTCCCAGAGTCTGCTCCCAGGATCCAGGATTTGCCACTTGCTAGTTGTTTGACCTTAGGCAACCCGTAAATCAGTTGGTGCCTCAGTTTTCTCCTCAGCCAAACGGGGTCAATGTGCATACATCAAAGGCTTGATATTAGGATTAAATGAGATACACACAGACACACACACACACACACACACACACACACACACACACACACACACACATATATATATATATAATACGTAGCTTGATCCGTGGTAAGCACTCAGAGGTTTCTTGTTAGAAATGTATTGAAAATACAGAATCTGTTAGTGCAGACACTTCTGCCTCCCATACTTTTTGCATTTTGATTTTTGAAATGAGTGATCTATGCTGTGCTAACAACGAGAAAAACTTCTCTCCAGAGAATTTATTTCTTAAGCTAAAACTTTAATGCAGAAAACTAAAAGTAGTCACTCAAGATTTGACATACAACTAGGAAGTAGTAGTAGTAGTAGTAGACGTAGAACTATGGACAGGGAGTGAAATACTTTTTGTAAATGGCTGTTACTATTTTAGTGTTAAAAATAGATGTGCAGTGGGTTGGGGCAGAAAGGGATTGTGGCAGAGGAGGTGGCGTGTGTTTGTAAAAGGGCAACATGATGGATCCTTGTGATGGAACTGTTTAATATTTTGACTAGTAGTAGATATGTGGGCTTACACATGTGATAAAACTATATAAAACACACGAATATAATTAAACAGGAAATCGCAATAGACTGGTAGATGGTATTAATATAAACATAACGGTTGTGATATTGTACTGTTGTTTTGTGAAATGTTACTATTGTGGGAAACAGCATGAACCTACAATGATCTCAAAATTACAATTAACAAATGCATGTGCAAATATATCAAACTAGTAACTTTTTATTTTTGTTTTCAGATCATTCCTGCCTGATTCATAAACATCGTGATTGGCTTTTGTAAGCTGATATTTTGCTTTTGTTTATCCTCTTTCCCCAATACCTCGTCTTCCCTAATAACTTGATGATTTTTTTTAGAGCTCCTAAAGCAAAAATTGGAACAAAACTTTTTTTGTTTTGGGTTCTGACATTATTTTTAAAGTCTGTTTCACTTTTTCTGGTACTCTTAGATGATAGTTGTTTTGATAGTGATTTTTGAGGTACATGTCTTGGCCTAGGGGCATTTGTTTCCTTGTAGTGACTGACTTCTTATCAGAGTTATGGTTAGTGGGAGCAAAGGGCAGAGCTGAGGTTGTATATAGATGCAGACATCCTGTTGGACATTAGTCTTCCTTCAAAACATTTTTATGGGTCTTTGTTTTTAAATAGTCTACATAGTATCATTTTTATGGCGGAGAATTAAAATCTACTAAACTGGGTTTTAAGGCAGCTTTGAGAATTTATTATCTGAGATGGCTTTGTTTTTCATCCTGTTAGGAGAGGAGAATATTGTTACAAAGTAACATAATGATGATTTGCATTCTCTGACAGATTCTAAGTCTATATCTTGAATCTTGTTCTAGTAGGTTCCATTTCACCTCTTTTGAGGACACCAAGAAGACATATACCTCCAAGACAGTCTTATCAATAGTACATATCTTGGCATACTCATTCCTTGGGATGTTAACTGACATTAAATGGAAAATTGGCCTATGGTCATTTAAATTTGGGGAAAGTCTGAGTTAAAATTAAATTAGACTTGTTTATTTCTAACAAGTGGTTATCAAAGACAGGGTTTGGTCTATGGTGTGTCTCAAACGTATTTCACCATGCAATCCCTACCTCATCAGATATACCATTGACCTGGTGCTCCTTGGAAATTTTTGAAAAATACTGCTTTAGAATTTAGGAAGTTGATATAAATAACAGAATTAATTGTACACTTTTCAGAATGATAGCAAATGAAGGACATTTGAGCAGAATGCAGGCTGGACCATGAAAGGACAGTTGGATTTTTAGCTTAAAACAGCTGACATGGAGCTAGGCCTAAATCATTATGCATACAGTTATAAGGCCACATAAAAATTTTAAATCTGGAAAGTAAAAATGCATTATTGTTTCTTATTCCTTCAAGATTCAGGATCTGTCCTTTCCTGTAAAACTAATGTGTCCTAATTCTTGGTGATTTTCAGGCTTCATAGAGTCCTAACATCCTGGCTTCTTAGTTTTTTGACTTCCTCTCCTTCAGTGACCTTGTCTTCCAGACCACATCAACAACTTCCTTCCATGGTCATACTGTGGACCTAGTCGTTAATAAGAACTACTCTCACTCCATGATCTTGAGTCCCAGCACCCCATTCTCCATCTGTCCTCCCACTCCAACACATTTTTAAATCCACCTGGACATGCAGCTTTTCCACTGCACCACACTTCCATCATACCTCACATCCACCCTTACTCACCGTAAATAGCCTACCCTGTCATTAAAATCACTCATACATTCATCTCTCCTAAACATTCCCCTTGCTTTGTTGTACTTAGCTGTCTATATCCCAGTGCCTTTGTCTACTTATTCCATGCCTGCTGCAGTGCAGCTGAACATAGCTGGAGAAGAATACCCAGCCATGCTCAATTTAAAGTTTATCCTTGCACTTACATTCTTAGTCCCATCTCCTCTCACCTGCTCAAGGATATTGCTGCAGTAATTGCCCCTTTTCTGTCCTGCATCATGCATCCCCACCTCCCTGCTTTACTTAAAAAAAAATTATTTAACTCCCTACTCCATGTAATGTCTCTGCTTCCTTTTGCACAATTTCTCAGTCTTTCTGGGCTTTCCACCAAAGTTCTCAAGTGTCACCAGTGACCTTCATATTGCAAACCCAACCATTAATTCCCAGTCCTTATCTTCTTGACCTGTCAGAAGCACTGACCCCATTGATCATGCTGCTCTGTGAAGTATGTTCTTCCCTGTCTTCTGTGTCTCCACACGTTCCCAGCAGCCTTGCTATTGCATGACTACTCTTATCTTTCTTGCAGATACTTCCTCATTGTCGTGACCTCCAAACATTGGCTGTCCCAGGGCACAGTCTCTGTACTTTTCCTCTCTCAATCCTCATTCCCTAGCTGCTCTCATTCATTTTCATGCTGGCAGCTACCAAATTATCCCCAGTGTGACCCTCTTCTCTAAACTCCAGATTCAAATATCCAATTGCTGAATGTCTGATAGGCATAGCAAACCTAACATGTCTGCGACTGAGCTCCTGAGTTCCTCTGTATTCTCAATCAAACTTCCTTCATCCTAAGTTACCATTTACTGAGATGAGGAAGGCTCTTCATCCATTTACACAGGCCAGGTGTCTTTGCAGCATCGTCATCTGTTCTCTCCCACTCCCTACACATCTAGCTATCAGGACATACTATCAGCCACCTTACATACACCCAGAAGGCAACCAGTCCTCCCCACCTCTTCTGCTGCTGCACTGGTGCACACCTTTGTCGTCTCTTTATAACAGTAGCCTTCTACCTGGTCTCCCTGGTTTCGTACTTTCTCCCCTAGAATTCACTCTCCACACAACAGCTGGATAAATTATTTAGAACTATAAGTCTGATCGTGTTACTTTCCTGCTCCAGTATCTCCAGTCCTTCCCGTCTCGCTTACAGAGGCTTATCAGCTCCTATATGATATGGGCCCCATTACCTCTGGCCTAATCTTTTACTGCTCCCCTTCACTCCCTGCTTTAGCCATACCAGTTTTCTTGCTTCCACATCAGTTTTGCGGTTATTGTACCCACAAATAGCCACATGACTTACATCCTTACCTCCTTCATATCTTCACTGAATTGTCATCCTCTCACCCATGCCTCCCCTGACCAACCTGTTTTAAACTGGCACTGTTTTCCCCACTAAATCTCTAAGCTCTTCCTCTCTCTTTGTTACTTGAACTTTTTTAATCACCATCTGATACATACTTTACTTGAGCTTTGTTATAGGATACAGTTAAGCTACTAGACACAGTTAATTCAAAGATAAGCTTAATTCAAAGGTAAACCTCACAAGGGTAGGAATTTTGGCATGTTTTGTTCACAGTGGTGAATCCCCAGCACCTAGAACAATGCCAGGAAAGACAGCTGCTCAATAAATACTGGTTTAGTGAAAAAGATAAACGTTAAAAACAAAGTTTTACTATAATTTGGGTTCCATACTCCCCAATAGATATCCCACAAAAACAGGAAAGTGGGATTGGGGAAAAGGATAGTATAGTAGTTACTGACTTTGCCTGTTATACCCTTCTCTTGCTGCTGCCTGATCATAGAATTGGGTAAATGGCTTGAGCTGGGACAATGTATTTGTAAATATAAAGCACTAAGGCAAATATAAAGGATTGGAACTTTGTACTGAGAGGACTTCTGCCTCCAGCCATCTTGTAATAACAGGAACTGGAGTTATTCTTTTGCCTAAAATAGCCTAACAAACAGACACACAAGAAAAGCCCATAAAACATGTGAAACAAAGGCATTCTGACATTGGACAAATGGCACAAAACAGTGAACCCTGAGAGAAGGAAAAAGCAAATGATTTGCCCCAGGCTGCAGTGCAGAAAGGCAGAACCCAACATAGCTTATCCTAGGTTGAGATGATCGAGTTAGGGATTCCGGGAGGCTGAGGCAGCTAGAATTTGAAAGACAAAGTACCAGAGAAGAGAGAGTTAGTTACACAGAGAGTGAGCTCCAGAAGGCTCTCCTGGAGGCTTCAGCTGAGTGCTGATTAGTGTTCATGCATAAGAGAACTACCCATGGATGAGGAAATAGCCACTGGGAAGAAAAATGTAGCTCATATAGGGCAGGGAAGAGTGTGTCCCCTCTACCATTCAGAATGGAAAAACCTTGTATATAGATGGAGTACTCAGAAGAGTAATGCTTCAGCAGTGAGGCAAAATTAGCCCTAGACTATGGTCTCATCTCATCCTGCCTAAAAAATCTTAAAAATAAGCTGTTCAAGACAGGTCATAAAACTTTTGTAAAGGGCCAGATGGAAAATATTTTAGGATATGTGGGCCATTTGGTCTCTATTGTAACTACTCACTTCTGCTATTCTAGTGTTAAAACAGCCATGGACAATTTGTAAGCAAATGTATTTACATGTATCAGAATGTATTCCAATAAAATTTTATTTATAGAAATAGGCAGTAGACCAGATTTGGCCTGTGCGCCTAGTTTGCAGACACTTGGTTTGAAGGATCAAATTATTTCAAGTAGCTTAACTGTATCCCAGAACAAAGCTCAAGGATATTTAAGGAAATACAAAATATCTAGCACCCATTAATAAAGTATGCAATGTGTAGCATTCAATCAGAATTTATCAGACATGCAGAGAAGTAGTAAAATCCAATAATGAAGAGAAAACTCAATCAGCAGAAGTAGACCCAGAAGCGACACAGATCTAACAAGTGGAGATACTAAAATAAATTAAATAGATTTAATAAGGATATTAATAAAATGGTTATTATAACTATGTTCCATATACTCAAGATGGTAGGTGAAACCATAAGCTTGTTAAGAAAAGATGGATGCTATTAAAAGACCCAAATTGAACTTCTAGAGATTATATAGACACCTGAGGTGAAAAATACACTGGATAGGATTAATGGCAGATCAGACATGAAGAAAGAAACATGTCATGAACTTGAAGACATAGCAGTTAAAATTATACAGAATGAGATATGAATGAAAAAAAAATAGAAAAAGTGAATCGCACATCAGTGAGCTGTGGGACAACTTGAAATGGCCAAATATGTATGTGATTGGAGTCCCTAAAGGAGGAAGAGGACAGAGAATAACGATGCAATGGCTGAAGACTTGCCAAATTTGATGAAAACAATAAACCCACAAATTAAGTTAAATAAATATAAAGCAAGTATAAAAAAATAAAGAAAACTACACCAAGGGACACTGTAATCAAATAATTTAAAACCAGTTGTAAAGAGAGATTTTAAAGCAGAGAAAACAGATTCTACATTCAGA